CAGTGTTATTACCCTATACTGGAACTTTACAGTGGTGGTAGACATGCATTAGATGTAGGATTTCATAGCAAACAAGCAGTGTTATTACCCTATACTGGAACTTTACAGTGGTGGTAGACATGCATTAGATGTAGGATTTCATAGCAAACAAGCAGTGTTATTACCCTATACTGGAACTTTACAGTGGTGGTAGACATGCATTAGATGTAGGATTTCATAGCAAACAAGCAGTGTTATTACCCTATACTGGAACTTTACAGTGGTGGTAGACATGCATTAGATGTAGGATTTCATAGCAAACAAGCAGTGTTATTACCCTATACTGGAACTTTACAGTGGTGGTAGACATGCATTAGATGTAGGATTTCATAGCAAACAAGCAGTGTTATTACCCTATACTGGAACTTTACAGTGGTGGTAGACATGCATTAGATGTAGGATTTCATAGCAAACAAGCAGTGTTATTACCCTATACTGGAACTTTACAGTGGTGGTAGACGTGCATTAGATATAGGATTTCATAGCAAACAAGCAGTGTTATTACCCTATACTGGAACGTAACAGAGGTAGACGTGCATTAGATGTAGGATTTCATAGCAAACAAGAAGTGTTATTACCCTATACTAGAACTTTATTGAACAGTTCTTTCCCTTTTATTAACATTGTTCCTAACTACAAATACTGTTACAGCACTGAAAAAGCAAGAATATACTCAGATTCAACTGAAAAAGCATACCTCAATTAATATGAAAACCAAATCGAATATCACAAATTTCTAACCGCAGCTCAAACCAAAACTCGAGCAAATCCACAACCAAACAGAATCTGAAATCAATCCAAATTATAAACAAAAAGAAATTAAAATCACAATTTAAAACTCAAACGAATATCTAAGTACAAATTAGAAGGAAATCAGAAAATCCAATAGCTTACCTCCAAATCAGCAATAACAAAAAAAAACGGATAAAATCAAGAAGAATTGGATCTGCATGTCAAATTTAAACTCCAAGACTGCAAAAATTAAAAACGAAAACATAATCAGCAACTTAATTAATCAAACATGAAATCACCAAAAATCATACTACAATATAATCGAATACCTCAAAAATCGAATATGAATTCACAAGAGAAAATCAATTACCTCAAAATCGAAGATCGCATATCGCACCAAGCTCCAATCGAATCTCATGCAGCACAATGTCGCTCCAAAAACCACCAATTCAACAAAGAATGAAGCAATAGAACTCAGCTCACACCAAGCTCAGAAGAATCGAAAAAGAAAGGAGATCTGGAACCAGATTATACAGAGCTTCGTTCGAAAAGGTGAACGAAGATCGCTTCGTTCGAACGACGCTCGTTTGGAATATTCGATCTGCTGGAACAAAAATCACGAGGCTGCCAAACAGTTTTCAGTCAGCAACGTAAATTTGAAGACATTCCTATCCTACCTGGCGAATTTTGGGCTTGTTTCTCAAAATTCAAACCAAAAGGTCAAAACCGTAATCCAACATATACACAGAATCCAAAAATCGACAGCTGTCGATTTTTGGGTGTGTTTATATACCCTAAATAGTTTAGGGTATATTTATAGTTTTATGTGTAGTATAGGGTATTTCACTAAATTTCTAAAAAAAATTTGAGTCTTGAAAAGCATGAATAATTGTATTTTGGAGGGGAGAAATTTGAATTTAGCCCTAACATGGTTGGAGATAGCCTAATAATGGATGTTCGTGAGGGGTAACCATATATGGTTCAGTAACTCTGTGAAAAACCAATTTTTTTTTTAAATGAGTCATCTATCGGGTTAGAAGTTTAAAATGGGTTGGAAGGTGGGTCTTTGAGATATTGGATCCGACCCGACCCAACAACACAATCCTGGTGGGGCTGAAAATGAATAGGCACTCACACACAGGTCCTCTCCTCTCGTGTGGCTCTTCTTGCTCTCCATTGCGTTTGCGCAGGTAATTCCCAAGCTTCAACTCCAAGCCTACATTTTCTCCCTTCTCAGTTTCTTTTTCGAAGTGAATCAATATTCTCTTCCATTTTCATCATTTAACATAATAAAACAATCAAATTTTAACTTCTAATTTCGTGTTTTAGTGATCGAGTGGTGGGTTGCAATCTTGTATTTCGTTGGTAGTAAAATCCATATGAGCCTACTAACTGTTTGATGAAATGCCTCTGGGAGAATCTCTGTTTTTTCTCTTTTTCTTGTGCCGTCTGTATTATAGGAGGGTTTTTTTTTTTCTACATTGTTACGACCTCCATTTGAAGCTCAACTATAAAGGCCCAACTAGGCATGTTTGAGCTGCTTCTATCCACTGCGTGGTAATTTGTAGCATATGACTATTGGAAACTCGTTGCATGAATTTTTCTACTATATGCGTACATGTGTTGCTTTTTTTTAATAAGTTTCTAAGAGAGCAAGCCTCTCTCAGATTTTCTCCCTCAGAGCGAGCGTCCTTCACAGCGAGTTCAGAGTTCAAAGCGTGAAACTGGAGGTCTTCCTCCTTATCCCTTGTATTAGATTGTTAGACATGGATCTGATATGGGTAATAACCTGATTCCTTCTGTCAATGTGAAAAAAACAATTTCAGGAGGAGACAGGTTTGCACTTGGTGAAATCATCTCAGCGTACATCTGATTACTGGCCCATTGTCAATCTCTATTAAGCCTCATGTAAGTAAATTTTAATCCTGTTAAGAGATTAGAGTAAAATATCCAATTGTGCTCGTGTATCCCTTTCACATATACTTTCATGTGACTGATCTTGTTATATGAGATTTGTATTTCATTATTTAGTTGCTTTGGTTTCTCTGTTTTTGGTTATTAGTTTAAGATCAGTTAAGTAGTCAGTTTAGTGGTTATGATAAGTACACATACTAATATTGATGTTCTGTTTTGCAGATAAATAATAGGATTGTCAGTAAATAATTGGATTGTCAGAGATTGTACTTCTCTCTCGTGGCCCTTTTCTTGCTCCATTGCTCAGGTACTTTCCAAGCTTCAACTCCAAGCCTACATTTTCTCCCTTCTCAGTTTCTTTTTTTAAATTGATAATCAAATTTTTAATTTTAATTTCGTGTTTTAGTGATTGAGTGATTGTCTTTGATTGTATTTCATTGGCAGTAAAATGCACATTAGCCTACTAACTGTTTGATGAAATGCCTCTGTGAGAACCTCTTTGTCTTTTCTCCTTTTCTTGTGCCTATTGCTCACTCAAATGGGTCTGTATTATAAGTTTTTTTTTTCCATTGTTACGACCTCCATTTGAAACTCGGAACTATAAAGTCTATCCACTGCATTGTAATTTGTAGCATATGACTATGGGGCAACTTGTGGCATGAATTTTTCTACTTTCTCATCATTGTGTGCATGTGTGTGTTGCTTTCTGGAAAAAGTTTCTGAACTGTTATGGTCTTGATTACAGAGCTGAAAAGGAGTCTTGACAATAAAGAAAATGCCAAATAGAACTCGACCTATGACTGCACTCTTGGTGTTTACTGGGCTGAATATTGTTCTAGTTTCAACCATTACTCCAGTCTATGATTTCGTCTGCTTCCTTCCATACTGGGAAAGAAGGGTATGTTTTCTGTCACTATTTGTTAAGCAAATGATATTCCAGAGAAAAAAAATATATATGGTATTAAACTTATTAGAGAACTTTCGTTAGGTTGGCCACACACTTGCAGGATGCATCTTAAAACTAAGCTTGACCAACTCTTTACTTGTATACCTATGCTTGCTTCCACATGATGTTATTATATTCACTCACTTACCAACTTAAATCTTGTTCTTCCCGGTTTTGTATCGGTGAGGTCAAAGTTGTCAAACCTAAACATCATTTTTGTTGTGTTGATTGTATGTTGGTCTTATGGATAATTTTGTTGCATAAACTTTCTGGTAATAGTGGCTTCGGTGGAATGAATTTGAAAACTTGGAAATGTAAAATCAGACATATTGTTACTGAATTTGATTTCTTCTGTTATTCAGTTTCTAAAATAAAAAACTGTAATACCTCCAATCCAATGCGATCAGTTCTTTAATGTCGAACATTATTTGATACTTAAAAATGGCCAATCCAAACAACTTTGATTGGATTGGACTGGAACGAGTCAGTTGGTTGGTCTTTTAGATTCGTTTTGTGCATCCCTACATCTGGTATTTATGTTTCTTTGCAGAGAGAACGACGTCGTCAGGAACGTGAAGCAACTTTATCAAATGGTCCTGAATCAAAATAGAATTATTAATGAGGTCAAACCTCTTGAGTTACAGGTTTTAAGCTTTTTCTAATATTTAATGTAGTCTCAGCTATATGATTTATTGTAAGATTTTAGCAAATAAAGGATAAGAAGGTATATGAAGCTTTTGCATGCCTGCTTATGGATGTTCTCTCCATATATTGCATAATCTAATTATAAAATATGTTTAAAATAAAACCTCAAAGATTTAGAGGAGATTACAGTTCATGTGATGCAGGACAACACAAGGTGGGGTGTTGCCTATGATTAAGTAGAGAAGAATAGGGAGGAGAAAAGAGATAAAGTAAAGGAGGAGACAATCAAGGCACCAAGCCTTCAATAAGACTTCAATATTTCGTTCATCCAATCTGGTTTGCTTTGCAAGGAAGTGCCTTGTTTATAGGTTTCAAATATAACTCTAAAAAACTTCTAGAAATACAAAAATACTCATTAAATAAGAGTTGAGTAATAACACTTTTATTTATTTCATGATTCTTGCACTACCATGTACATTTCATTATAGCATCATCATGAAGAGGATATTTTTTTTCTCCCACTATTGCATTAATATCATGTCTCCCCCAATCAAACAAATTTCCCATCAACACTTCATGTAAGCTTGCTTTCTCTTGGTTGGCTTGGTTCTATACTTACTATCTTAGTGGAGAAATATTTTCTCCCTTAGATTTGGAGAACTTGCTAGATGATTTGAAAATCATGGAAGTTAAATAAATCCATTTGTTTAACATTATCGTTTTACATTTATTTCTACATCATTGAAAGGTCTATGATGAAGTTTCTAAGGCTGGTTAAGAAAGGTCTACTGGTGATTGATTTTGGAATCTACAACTTTAGCATTGAGGTTGAGGGTAGCAGTTTGTTGTGGGGGATATAATGAGGGCTTATAGTTGGGGGTTACAATGAGAGGGTCCTTAATAGCCGTGTAATCAAGTGCTGAGTTATTATTGGATTGTTGGGTTGAACCCCCTCATTATAATCTCTCAACATAGCCCCACATTATAAAAGCTCCCGACTGAGCATGGTCTCCAGGTATTGGGGTTTTAACTATAGGCCACGAGTTTTGGGCTTTCACTAATGCCACAACAATATTGGGTCCTTGCAAGTGATAGGTCTTAAATTTTCTATGCAAGCAAAGTGTTTTCCTTTTCTTCGTTGTTAAATATACAATACAAGCAAAGTTTCAGAAGTCTCATAATGAACGGTAATGTTCAAGAACATACAGCGGATAAAGTACTTGATCAAACTGCCAACCACCCTCTTTCCTAAATTAATGTCTTTATCTCCCATAATAGGGAGCTCTTATTAGTGTAACATATAAACCATGTACTGTTTACAGATTTCCAATTTATTGTTTGTTTCAGTCATAAACTGCCTCTTTGTTTTGGTAACGGTGGCAGCACATCCTCCAAGTATACATATGCCCAATGATAATTTTTATCTTTTATACAATCGATATTGGAGAAGGGGGAAATCAAACCTAGGATCTCGGATGCATGGGTAAATATTCTTAACAACACGAGCTATAAGCCCCTTGCACGTCCAATGATTATTAAACCTAAGGATTTATACAACAATGATACTAAAAGCACCAAAATATTCTAAGGATTTGTATTTCATATGTCATAACTCATAGCCTACCCATTACATGTTTTAGAACAGTTGTTTTCGCGTACACGTGTGACTATCAACTATTAATGCATATGAAATCCACAATCTATCAATAGTCGAAAATATCTGTGTGAGCGATTCTACTACTCTTCAACCGTTGATACATAATAAACACACAATACATCAATAATTGGAAGTCATGATGATTCTCCTTAACATTTCTCTTGGATGTATACGCTACAAGTGGAATCAAACTTGATTTGACCCAACTCAGAAATCGTACAGATGAGCCAAGTGTCAGAGATCGAGGTATCATGTCTTAATGAGTGACAAATCATTGTGAGGAATGAGATTAGATAGATAGATACCAATATATACCTAAATGAATAAACAAATAATATTTAGATATATAGAGAGCCACAAGCTACAAGGAAGGAAGGAAGGAAGGAAGGAAGGAAAGAAAGAATTCAATTCACGCTTTGTCAAAATTGTGAAGTGCTTCTCTTCTCTACGCTTTCTCACTTCCCATGGCATGTGCTCTTGTCCCACTTTGTGCCCTTTTACAATATTGCTTTGCTTTCTCTATCAGCATCAATCCACTCCCCTCATTTCCTTCCTTCCTTCCTTCCTTCCTGCTTTTGACAAATCATTGCTTAATGCTTATACTCTTGTGTTTCCCCAACTCAACGTTCCTTCTAAATTCACATGTTTGATCACACATCTTCATCATATGCGCGCATTTGGGTTTGCTTTCAAAACTCTTTGACTGGATTTGTCTTCCTATTTTTAAAAATCATCATATAAAAAAATGATTAAAGGATATATATATATATATATAACAGGCACATAGATGGAGAGCTTCACTTGAGAAATTTCTCGGGTAACTTTATTTAAGGGACACCCTTATAAGTTCTACTTTGCATTGTATTATGTACAGTTCACACATCTTCATCATATGCACGCATTTGGGTTTGCTTTCAAAACTCTTTGATTGGATTTGTCTTCCTATTTTTAAAAATCATCATATAAAAAAATGATTAAAGGATATATATACAACAGACACATAGATGGAGAGCTTCACTTAAGAGATTTTTCGGGTAACTTTATTTAAGGGGCACCCTTATAAGTTCTACTTTGCATTGTATTATGTACAGTATATTTTTTAAGTGTTTCTTCAAAGATTATCCTTGTAAAAAGTCACAAAATTCAAAACTATTTAACCACTCAATTAAATGGTTGTCATTGTTAGTGTTTTATTGAACACAGTGTTGATAGATTTTGTTGATCACAACAAGATATCTTAATGATTTTTAATTTGTCTAATTATTTGCAAAGATGATATTTGAATGAAGATTATTGAAGTAAAATTCATAGTGGATTTCAAAACCGCCTCAATAAAATGGATTGTGTGTATATGTATATATTATTGGACACATATATGCATATATTTGGGACAAAAAAAATGCTTGCAACCCATGAAAACTACTACTTGTGCAAATTTTGAGTAAATCTCTATCTACATGAAAGTAGGATTGGTAGAAAGCCACAAATCATCGTTCATTCATGTGTCCATTTTTGTTTCCAAATGGAGAAGTAAAGGCAACTTATTCTCCCTTTCTTTTTCTTTGTGTTGTCAATTCACAATTTCCATATTCTAGTTTAGTTAGTTGTCAACTTGGTTAGCATTTCCCTTTCTCATCCAGAAATTTTGATGACCCTAATAAACTAACATGATGTACGTTGGCTTCTTCCCTCTCAAGCACAGTGAAATCAAATTGTTGTTTGATAGACCACTTTAATTTATGGCTTAATTACTGTTTCACCCCTTCGAATGGAAGCTCGGTCTCACTTTACCCCTTGAAATTGAAATTTTCTCACTTAACCCCCTGAATCTCTAAAAATTGCTGAAAATTTCTCAATTTACCACTTTTGTCCATTTTCATTCACAAAACTGTTAAGTGTGCTGACGTGACATGGCATTTTAGTAATTTTACCTCATCTATCTTCTCTCTTCTCCTTATTTTATGTATTTTAATTTGGTATTTATTTACATGAATTATTTTCTGAATTTTTTTGTAAATAGAGCAATTAAGTCTCCTTATTTTTCCAACAAGAAGAGCAGGCTGAACTTCAATGGCAATACAACCAATTTCAGTGGAGCTTGTTAGTGAGAGTGCATATATATGAGACATCAGATTCCATTACTTGGTCCACATATGATAAGTACAATTTAGTCCCCGGTGTGTACTTCTTTTGCACTGACATATACGGGATTAAATTAAGCTTATTGAATCCAACAAAATGTTTTCCTAATTAAGCAATAAAACTCAACCAAATATGGAAATAAGATTTCTCTATTACTTTTGAAAAAAGAGGAAGAAGAGAGAAACAATAGTTATTTCCCTTAATTTAGAAAAAGGGAACTCCTAATCTTTGACCTAAAATGCTGAATTCCAAGCTTCGGACTCTAGATTCATAACTTCATATTGTAAAGTCGTACTCCAAACCCTAACCGTCTAAGCATTGAACTTCAGTCTTTCGGTCAATCTCAAACCTAAACTTGAAACTTGGATTAGAAACCTAGACTCGTAACGATGTTATGATAACATAGAATTAAGACCCTAAGGCCCCGTTTGGTTAATGGAAAAGGAAGCTTGGGGATGAGAAATCAATTGCTTTCATATGTTTGGTAAGTCCAGGCATGAGAAATGATTGCCTAGCACATGAGAAAGTTGTTTGTGCCTAAAAATCTCAGCCTGTAAGGCCGACCGAGGGAACAACCTCTCGGCCAGGGCGCTTGCCCAAAAGGTTGTCATTCGCTTTTCCTCGTAGAGTAAGGGAGATCTATGAAGACGAAATCATCGCGGCCACGGTGAGCTTGAACGAAGAAAATAGTAACCCCTCAAATACACGGCCAAAGTGGAAAAGTCAAGGGGCGTGGCCACGTGTCATTGAGGTCCCACGCTTCATTTAATGAGGTAATGCTCCTGACTGCAGTAGAGGACCCGTGATCCGCAGAAGAATTTCCGTCCTTGCATTTAATGCATAAGGGAAGAAGGGAAGTGATTGGAGTCAGTGTATGGTGAGTAAAATCAGGACGATTAGGTGCGAAATCTATGACTTGTAAGACTAAGTCACCAACCATCAGACCAGCACATTAAATGCTCCTCCAAGGCCCGAGACACAGAATCGACGATCAGGGCGGCGACCGAGATTTATGGGGGTCACACCACCATACTTCACATTCCCAAATGTTGTCCAGACTGCCCACTATCTCTGATCGACACGTCATGCAGATATCAGCCTCACTTTCCTCCCAGAGCCTCTTCTATAAATATCAAGCTCCAACTACATTTAGAAGGGTCAACACCAAACACCAGCCTCCAACGGAGCAAATTATATTTTCCTGTCATTTATCTTCCTGTAATGCACTTTCAATACCTTTACTTGCTTTCCTAGGAGTAGTGGCATATTGTAGGAAAATCCGTTCATTAATATATCATTCGACCCTTGATTTTTCAAG